TTTGTTTATGTTTTTCTAGACAGGGTTTCTCTGGGTAGCCCTGGCTGTCTTGGAACTCCCTATGTAGAGTAACAGCTGGCTTCGAACTCAAAGATCTCCCTGTCTTTGCCACCCGAGTGCTGAGATTAAAGACTTGCTGCCTTGCCCCGATTCTTTTTTTGTTTTTTGCTTTTAAAAAATATTTATTTTGCCTGGTGGTGGTGCATGCCTTTAATCTCAGCACTTAGGAGGCAGAAGTAGGTGATCTCTGTGGGTTCCAGGCCAGCCTGGTCTACAGAGCAGAGTTCTAGGACAGCCAAGGCTACACAGAAAAATCCTATCCTGTCTCAGGGGAAAAAAAAGTGTACACACACACACACACACACACACACACACACACACACACACACATAATGTGTATGGGCACTTTTGCAGGTGTGCACGTTTGTGCACCATGTGTGTGCAGTGCTCCCAGAAACCAGAAGTGGATGTCAGATCCCCTGATATTGAAGATACAGACAGCTGTGAATCACCATGTTGGTTCTGGGAATTGAACCCTGGGTCCTCTGGAAGAGCAGCCAGTGCCCTTAACTGTTGAACCATCTCTCCAGCCCTGTTCTTAGCTTCTTGAGACACGGTAGAGCGCTCCAACTCCTGATCTTCCTGCCTCCCCAGACAGAGTTGAGATTGACCATCTGGGCCACCAAGCACATCCACAGGTGACATTTGATCAAAGGGGCCACATCTTGTTCTAGGGCTGAAAACTGCAAGTGCCTGGGGCAAGAGCAAGTGTGGGTCTGAGAACAGGCTGCCAGCACAGGAGGCCCGAGGGAAGGGGGAGGGGTGGAGCTTGGGGCTAGAGATCTAGAGATCAGCTCAGGAGAGTGAGGCTTTTTGTTACCGGGTTTCAGTATGCTGAGCTGAGCCTCCCAGTACAACGCATTCTGTCATATCAGAGACAAGAACACTAACAGGAATTTCCAGGAACCCTTCTCCCCAGGTACTGAGTGTTGGCCCATATTTAGAAATCCAGGTCTTGGAATTGAAGGGATGGCTCAGTGGTTAAGAGCACTGGCTGCTCTTCCAGAGGTCCTGAGTTCAATTCCCAGTACCAGCATGGCTGCTCACAATCTGATGCCCTCTTCTGGTCTGCAGGCATGTATGCAGACAAAGTACTTGCATATACAATAAATAAATAAATAAATCTAGAAAGAAAGATAGATAGGAAGGAAGGAGGAGTAAATAAATAAATAAATCCAGGTCTTAGAGGGTGTGATTTGATCACATCCATGCTAATGGCTTAAATCCACGATGACAGGTGTCCTCAAGAGAAGATGAGAATTTGGAGGGAGAAACAGCCCTGTGAAGATGCAGACATGCATTAAAGTTATATGATGGACAACACACACACGCAGCGAGGACTGCTTGCCCTTGGCCAGCTGCCATCTCAAACAGAGGCAGAGGCAGGAAGAAGCCCCTCCCCCAGTCTACAGCTCAGATGGCATGAGTGTGTGTGTGTTTGTGTGTGTGTGTGTGTGTGTGTGTGTGTGTGTTTGCATTTCTGCCTCATGCAAGTAGGGGACAAAAACGTGTTTAAGTTTTAAATCAAGTTTCTGAACATTTGTATAGTATTTCACTTTATTTACAATTGACAACCTTGACCTACTTTCAGACTGCCAGAAAAGGGGTGGGAAAAGAGTAGGGAGAAGAAATGCCAGGGCCTTTCATGACTTTCCCATTGTGTCCTCTCCCCCTTCCCTCTCTCTGCCACACACACACACACACACACACACACACAGTCTCTCACATTCTCTCTCATATACACTCACACACACACACCCTCTCACACACAGTCTCTCACACACTCTCACACATTCTCTCTCATACACACTCACACACACACCCTCTCACACACACTCACATATTCTCTCATACACTCACACTCACATACACATGCACACGCACACACTCATGCCATCTGAGCTGTTGAAGCAAGCTGCAGATGAGGAGACACTGTTCTCCTTTGCCCTCTGTTGCTGTGAAAACACAATTCTTGGGGAAGAATGGTTTCTATGGCTTACAGATTACAGTCTACCTCTGAGGGAAGTCAGGGCAGGAAGTCAGGGCAGGAACTCAAGCCAGAAAACTGACACGGGGGAGTGCTGCTTGCTGAATTGCTCAGTCTGCTTCCTTTCTTTTTCTTTCTTTTCTTTTTCTCTTTCTTTCTTTTCTTTCTTTTCTTTCTTTCTTTCTTTCTTTCTTTCTTTCTTTCTTTCTTTCTTTCTTTCTTTCTTTCTTTCTTTCTTTCTCTCTCTCTCTCTCTCTCTCT